CTTCAAAATCCAACGTATATAAACATAAAACAGCAAAATCTCACTGGCACTCTCAACACGACACGCAAGAATGGCACAATTACACAGAAGACAAACACTTTGAGGGATAGAAATACTTTGATTGAATATAAAATATATATTTTGCATTGTATAAATTCACTTTTCCACATCCTAAATGTATTTGTTAAATGTAAACAATGTTTGTAAATCCCAGGCTCTGAAGATGATCTCAATAAAGTTCGAAACGTTGGAACGATAAAGAAAATGTTTTTCTGAAACCTACATCACACCAGACCGCATCTCACGATTTCTGAATAATTAAAACATAATAATGAAGTTTTATAATACTTTTAATTAATTAACACATTTTTTATATGTTTCCAATATATTTATATATAAGTTGACAGTTTACCTATATGATATGTATTTTAATAAATTATGCTATCAGCCTGTATATGTAAATAAATATTTTCGAATAATGTGGAGCTCGGTATAGTCAGGATGTAAAATCAAATTCAATTGCTGTCTACCAAGCTTTCGACCTATTTTAAGGTCATCATTAGGGAAAAATAATCTTTAAGATGTTATACGTTATAATAAAGTTTTTACGTGCTTCTTTCCTTCGCAATGTTGGGATTGAGTATAACTTCGAACAAATTTGTAGATGTCTATTAAAAACTTAATTATGTCCATTTGTAGACATCTTGAAAATTGTTTTGCCCTTATGATGACCTTAAAATAGGTCGAAAGCTTGGCAGATAACAATCAAATTGTTTTTTCATCCAAATCGTACCATGATCCAGATTATTGCAAAATCTTTTACTTTTAAGCTACTGTGAATCCAATTTTGCCTACATCTTCTGTAATTTTTTAAAATATTTTTGTTTCTTGTCATTTTATTCATGACGATGATACACGTTAATGATGATTTTTTAATTTTTGAAAGGAAAATAATAAAACGACCAAATTAGCATGCTTGTTAAATTACAAAATAAAAAGTTCCATTTGGATCAATAAAAATTATGGAAATTGTAATTAGCCCTTTATCATCGATCTAGAACATTGTACACACCGATTTTTCTTAATTATTTCATAAACTTTTCTAATAATTGATTAATTTTAAAAACTCAATACCTCGATTTCTCGTTCCTTCTTTTATTTTCTTCTGTTTTCATTAAAACAATATTGATTTAACGATCCACAGGGTTGATCACAACATACTGTTACAGCCTGACATAAATACAGCTCTTTTTTTAACTTTATTCGTGTTTCTTTAAACGTTTTTTCTAATTTACTCAATCCATTATTTTTTTCTGGAAGGGCAAAATTTATTCCAATATGGTACCGAATGGAATAAATTTGTTATTCAAAAAGTTTGTAGATGTTTTTTCCAACAGACAATACACCTCGTAAGGAAACAATTTAAATCAATTTTATTATTATTAATCAATGTTGAAAAGTGAAACAATGAAATGAACACATAATGCTTAATATTACTAGAGGTAAGACTTTTCCTTTGAGGAGAAACATTTTTGATATTGGTTCAAATTATGCATGGATTCATTGAAAACATTCAAATGCTTAATTCATATAGCTTTTTCTAATTAGTTCTATAATGACGAACACGATTGATTCTCAATTATTTTATAAATTAGTTCAATAATTGACTTTTTTTAAAGTCAATTCCGTTATTTTAACTTCTTTTTTTCTCGTGTTTCCTTTAAAACAATATACATTAAACAATGCAGAAAGATGAACACCACATAACCACAAAAATATACCTTTTTTTAGTTTATAGCTTTCGCGCTCTTTTAATTATTTTTCGGCTGATTTTGAGATAGTACAGTTATAAATGTTTAATTAAAATTTCAGAATGGAATAATTTCGCTTACAATGTTTCTGAACTGAACAAAGACAAAACGTCAGGTTGCCAACAACCAATGAACCTTCTTAAAAGAAAAGATTAAATTTATTTTATTATTATTAATCAATGCAGTTAAAACAATAGATTAAAAAATAAGTAATACTTGGAAAAACACCCACTTTTGTAAAATAGAATTATTTATGGTAGTATGGATGGAAAGTATGGATTCATAGTCGATCTCGACACTTGGTCTATTGATTATCACGATTATTTTATACATCTATCCAATAAATAAATTATTTTTATCAAATAATGAACATACATGATAAATAGCCTTTTCTCTTGTTTACGTAGAAGAGATATGGAATAAAAATTCAAAGAGATTTGACCTCTATACAGCAAAATAAAACTATAACTCTTGTTTCTATTTGACGGTGACTAACTGTGACGGTTTTATCCAATTTTTTTATTATAATTCACTCAATCCATTATTTTTTTGGGTTCAATGGACACAAACCTTCTTATAAGAAAAAAAATTAAATTTTTAATATGATTGACCGACAGTTGTAATTGTAATGATGAAGTGATTGAGGTTGTGGTCTAGTTTGGGGTGTTTCTTAATCCAAAAATAATTATGCGAAGCTTTCGACTTTTTTGGTTTAAAACAATCCCCCAACATTGACCACAACTTCGACCACATCATTACAATTACAACTGTTTGGTCGATCTTATCAAGAATTTTTAACTTTAATGACTTCAAATAAAGTCGAAAGCTTGACAGAAAGTTTTTTTAGATTAAGAAACACTCCCAAACATGGTCACAACCTCGATCACTACATCATTACAAAAAATTTAAACTTGTTTTTATCATTATTAACTATTGCAGTTAAAATAATAGATGAAGTAATGCTTGGAAAAAAGTTGTGTACGTACTTGTAAGTATGGATTCATGGTCGATCTCGAACTTTGCTCGGCTGATTCTCATGATTATTTTACACATTTACGCAATAAAAATTTATTTTTATCCAAAAGTGGATAAATAAACGTTTCACTTTCTTTTGACAAAAAAAACGATATGGAAAATTTACAGAAATTTGACCACTACATAGGAAAACAAAAATATAACTCGTGTTTTTTACTTTATACATTCTGTGCTGGTTTTATTCCATGTTTTGATTATAGTTTACTCAAATCATCACTTTCCAACAGACGATAAACCTTCTCATAAGAAAAAAAAATTAACTTGTTTTTATATTACTATCCAATGCAGTTAAAAGAATGGATAAAAAAATAATTAATATTTAGAAAATACGTTATCTTTTCCACTTATAAGTGTAAATTTATTGTCGATCTCAAACTCACTAGTCGATCTTCACATTTATCCAACAAATAATTTATTTTTATCCAAAATTGGATAAGTAACGTTTCTCTTGCTTCAAACGACATGGATTAAAAAATTTTATAGAGATTTGACCACTACATAGTAAAATAAAAATACAACTATTTTATACATTCACTACTTTATACATTCTGTGCCGGTTTTATTCCATTTTTTATTATAGTTTAATCAATCCATTCCGTTTTGTTTCCAGCGGAAAAAAACTTATTATCAGAAAAAATTATATATGTTTTATTATTATTAACTGTTGTTATTCATGAAGGAATGCTTAGAAAAAATATTCTCCTTTGTACTTGTAAGTATGGATTTATTGTCTATCTTGGATATATCGATTGATTATCACAACTATTTTATATTTATCCCATAAATAATTAATTTTTATCGAAAACTGGATAACTAAACGTTTCTCTTACTTCATAAGATATAATTTAAAAAATTTACGGAGATTTGACACCAGATTGGAAAATAAAAATAAAACTATATTTTTTACTTTATACATTTTGCGCTTGTTTTATCCCCATTTTTGATTATATTTTATTCAATCCATTACTTTTTCTTTTCGACGTACAACAAACCTTCTTGTACGAAAAAACTAAACTTGTTTTATTATTATTTATTGCGGTTAAAACAACAGATATAATGCTTAGAAAAAAGTTCTCTTTTGTAACTAAGTAAGGATTAATTGTCTATCTTTCACTTTGGTCGTTTGATTCTCACGATTATTTTATACCATTATCCAATAAATAATTTATTTTTATCCAAAAGTATATAAATAATTTTTACTCTTGCTTCAAACGACATGGATTAAAAAATTCACAGAGATTTGACCTCCTCATAGCAAAATAAAAATGTAATTATACTCCTTAAATTCATTATAGTTCGTGGTCCGATTGACCGAATAACGTTTGTCAATTAATTAATCACTATATAAGGCATTGGTTGAGATAACACTTTTTTATTTTATACATTATGTGCTGGTTTTATTCCACTTTTTGATTATATTTTACTCAATCCATTCATTTTTGGTTTCAACGGAAAAAAAACCTTCTTGCATGGAAAAAATTAAATTATTGATATTAAAACAATAGATGAAGTATTGCTTAGAAAAAATTTCTCTTTTGAACTTGTACTATGTTGACCTTTGGTCGATTGACTCTTATTATTGATTGTTTATGATGTTTACTGATTATTGTATACAATTATCAAATTAATAATTTATTTTTAATACACTATTTTATAACTTTGTATATTCTGCGGTAGTTTTATTGATTTTATTTTGCATAATCCATTTATGGAGAGTAAAATTTTAAACTTCGTAAGTCCTGAATATAATAATTTTATTTTAAAATGTTTCCAACAGGCTATAAAGGTTATAAGTTCCTTAATGTTTCTTTATCATTGTAAATTATTTTCAATGAAAAAATAACGAGATTTGTTTCATGTGAACCGGTGGATGTAGTAAAACCGTCATAAGTCGGTTTTTGTATTAGATCCAGTCTAAAGTTAGTAACTTCCAACAAGATTGTTCAACCCTCGTGGCTATTTTGTTATAAATCGTTAGAAAATCTCAACAGCAATCGTTTTTTGAATTGATAAAACAAATGTAGATTTTGTTAAAATTTGGTATACAAGAAAAAAAGCTCGATTAAAAAAAGGAGCATGCATTTGGAAATCGGGGGTGGGTTAGGTTGTACGACGAAGGGCGGGGGTGAGGTAGCGCGAGTACCAGCAACGTACCAGTTTGTCCCTTTCCCAGGGTTTTCTCGAGCCTGTACGGGCCGACATACTGGTGTTGTTCGGTGACGCCGCAGTTTTCCTTCTGCATCTTTTGCCCCTTGGTCTGGCTCTCCTAATGACGGTTGTTGCCTGTCAGCTGAAGGGAGACGACATAGGGCCAGAGCACACACCGACCACCGAGCACAGACTGTCGGACAAAAGTCAATAACGCCGCCCGCCGGCCATCTTCGCCGCCCCGCTACTGCGCAACGCAACCAACAACCGGCCGGAGGTTGCACTCCAACTTCAAATTGCAACTTGCAACCGGGGCCAGGTGTTGCGCCCAACCTCGTCCAACGCTTTTTCTCAAAAAAAGACACGGTTCGTATTTTTAACAAACAAGGGATGATTTGTAGATTAAAAAACAAAAACCACCCATTTCCCATATTATCCACCACCCTGATATAAAATGGATGAACCACGGTGGGCAAGCACGTGATTAATGAAAGCACATTCCGTTTTTTACATTTATTTATTAAAAAGTATAAAGAGCCACACAATAGTTACGTTGTAGAATAAAATATTTTATTGTATTTAAGCATTACATACATGCATATGCAAGGGATGCATATTTTGTTTTCTCTCTTATTTTTACATAGATATATTATAATAATTAATCACATTCTTTTTAAAAAGATAGTGCCTGCTCACATTTTGTTGTTCCACGTTCCGGATTTAAAGCTTTAACTCTTCATCAGCATCAGGTCTCTCGACATGAATTGTACAATTCATTACAATAATTTATCACATTTTTTTTAAGGCTACTATGCACTACTTTCGTACTCACTACTTTCCTACTTCACTGTACAATTCATGTCGAGAGAGATGGTGGTAAATTCCTTTTAGTGACTAGGAGTGTTTTAGTGGCCCAGACAAGGGTCGGTGTTTTGGAAACGTGTCGTTGAGACGATGTATCGAGGCCGGGTCCGATGTGTGCCTATTGGTAGGTAGAGCAGTTAGCTGAGATCCGGGGACGTGATTCGACTGACTTCTACATCGGTTGATGGGACTCTGGTGCAGCAGTTGGCCGAGTGCAGCGGTTTGCGTGTAGCCAAGTCGGCTATGTTTAGAAGGCGAGTTCGAGAGTGACGCTGAGAGTACCCTTGCCATGGTCGTAGGTGCTTCATTAGTGATAAGCGAGAACTCACCGTATTGACGAGTCTGCCGTCGTTGCCGATTAGTGAGCTCGTCGGGTAGACGAGTCTTGAGGCATAAGTGAGACCTCGTCGGGTCGACGAGTCTGAAGCCATTGGGGCAGTGCCCCTGCTTATATACGCACTGGCTCTGCTCTGATTCGCTGCAGAGTGGAGGACGAGACCATTCCAGGACCGGCAGTGACACCTAATGTGTACCACGGTAACCGTAGGTTCCTACTACACCTTCAACCTGATGATGAGCTAAAAACTTGAACTACAGATCGTTGAAAACTACAAACTGCGAGTAGGAACTATCTTTTGTAAAAGATCGAACATCATACTTACTCCCTCATTTATCAATTCTAATAATTTATCGATGCTAAAAACAATACATATGTAGGGAGGTGCAGAAGGCTCTGCGCCAGAAATTGGGGTTTAAACCCCAAAATGACCCTATGGCTATACACTTGCATCTTAAGACAAATGTTGACGTATGGGTCGGTGGTGCGGTGGACCAAGATTCTGCAGGCCAGAGCAATCAAACTGTTAAGTGGTACTCAAAGAAAACTTGCCTCAGTGTCGATGGAGCCCTGAACACAACGCCAACTGCGCCCCTTATTGTTAAACCTCCCGCCACTTCATATTTTAATTCAAGGAGAAGCCAGAGCAAAACCCACATGCTCATAAATGAACAATCATCTTAAAGTTTAGGCCGTGTAAATAAACAATGGAAATTGAGGGAAGAGGTACATACAGGGTGATTCCATATTAGGCATGACAATCGATGCCACTACTCCAAAATACGATTTTACGAAAAAGTACAAGGTACCGTAACTAGAATGGGAACAATGGGCCAAAGGAACGCCGCTAAAGGCAAACTCCTACTGGTACACTGGCGGCTACTGACGGTAAACCTAGGTAAATATGCTACTGTTTTCCAGTTTGAAATCATAGAGATTAAACACTGCGCCAGGGAAATTAAAAAGCTATGAGTACATTCCCGGAATATAGCCGCCTTCTATGACAGTCAGGAAGGTCAGCACTGAAGGTCCTAGCCTCATGCGAGGTGAAGACTAAGAGCGTTTGGAACTGCAAGTAGACCCTGACTGAAGTCAGCGATGCTAATGACTTGACCCTACCATGGGGTCCCATTCGGGGGATAGAGACAACGAAAATTTAGAGCCAATATGACTCTCTAGGTCCTGAACCCTACTGTGGCATAGCATCCTGTCACAAAAGAGGATACATTTAAAAATGGATCATTAACGAGTCCAAGACCTGGTGGAACAGGTACGAAGCACGCGAATTCATAGAAAGGCCATCTGTAAAACTTAAAAAGCAATTACTGGAAGGCAATCGCAACCGAACCAGCGTTCTGGTTGGACTCCTGACAGGACAGATGTTCCCATCTTTACTCATGGGTGTTGAGACCCATGAGGATCTTTAACGTCCGGACTTATCCCCGAGAGGACTTCTCAGACGCCCAGTGTTCTCAAAGAGAACACCAGGAAGATTTTACATGCATGGACGTCACATCCCTTGGCCAGCGAGGTGGTGCAATGCTAACAAAGTTCAGAAAACCTTACAAAGGTCACATCCATACATGTGCCTTGAAAAAGTGCCTTTCATCACCCACAGAGAGATAGAGAAGGCACTCTATCTCCGGCTCCGGTTGGCCGGTACCCTCCAGATAAGGTATAATTTGTTTACAAACCACGACTACCACGAGTCCAACCTCTACTACCGTGGTTAAGTGGGACTGATCGCCCACCCGGGGATTCGCACGAACCCCCTACTGATGCACCCGTTGCCTGAGGGGTGCGGGTACAGTAACCCAGGAAGCCTCTGCCAAAGGAGAGGTGGGAGGGGTAAGGAAAAGGAAAGGAGTAAGGAAGGATAGGGAAGGTAATGAGAATTTTGCCTCCATCATTGGTTACCCCCAGGCACAGGGTGGATGGTCGAACTTTGCGGACTTTTCTGTGAAGGTGCAGGTTCTTGCAACTAGGACAGAAAAAACTGTAAGCAAGATCCTACACTAAGGAGCCACAGGTAAAGCTATGGAGGCTGATTAAAAACCTGAAACTGGCCGGTGAGTTATAAAAACAGGGTAATACATAGATCTATTCAGGTCGAGGTGAGGTAATATTAGTTCAACTTCAATGCACCCAATAGTAAAATAAATCATTCATATTTTAATTTTCCCAGCTCCCATTTAGTAACCATACTAGTTTATTTGTCGATGTTGAACAATGCTAGTGCATTCTGTAATAAGTTTTACAATTTTGTTTTAACGACGAATATATGGAGCATTGGCATTACGTGTGCCAAAATATCGTTGACCCTCAAATTGCGAATTGTGCATAATTATGTGGAGTCAATGGAGTCTACAATGCCATTATAAAAGAATCTAATTGCTGCAGTACCCGGCATTCTTAATTGCACTATAATTCACTGCAAGGGGATGGATACATTTCGAAAAGCCTAAAGAAGGGGTTGAAAACCGAGCGAATGCATCATTCAATGTTAATTGAATAGAGATTACTCTCCCAGCGCTCAATATTATAACTTTTGTTCCTAGCCACCACATTTAGACCACAAAAAAATAAAGTTCGCAACCCAACGAGCCAGTTACATTGCAATACGAGGTGATGGAAAAATTACGTAGTATTAAATATACAAAAAAAATTGTTGTCGGATAGATATCAATTTGTTGAGATAAATGATACAAAAAGTTAAAGAACCTTGATTAGTCAAAAGGAAGGTACCCCATCAATCGATTTTAGGACTTCTATTATATCTTGTTTATATAAATGATCTCTTTGAATTGGCTAACACCAATCACTTGACAGCTTATTCCGATGAAATTGCACATGTGCCTTAGCAAAACAGGTGACAAATAAGAAAGTTGATATAATAAACTCGTCGTTAAACAGGAACGAAGTCCGTTTAAATGTCTCCAAAACTTGGTTTATGAATTTTTCAAATTCAAAACGAAACAAAAATTCATATTCTTGCCCTGAAATGATGAAAACTCAAAAAATTAAATATCTAGGACAATGGATGGATTTTAGATCTCAATGGTTTTTAAATGTCGAAATTCCTACCTTTAAAAAAGTCTCAATTGATAGACAATTATTATGGTCCTAGACTTTTCTATGAACTATCGAACAACTGTAAAATCAACCGCAATAAGAAAACGGCTTTTAAAAATAAATTCACAAGTTTCGTGGTCCGCTTGACCAATTAATATATTTCAATTAATTAAGGTTTTTAGTTGAGATAAAAAAAAGTCAGGGAAGTTAGTGTCCGAGTGGATCGAGGTCACGATAGCTCAAGTGAGAGCAGCGGCGTATCTAGCCGAAGTTCGAGGGTTCGAATCCCGCTCGTGACACTCATTTTTTATCTCAAATAAAAACCTTTAAAAATAAACGTCATAAATTCTTGTTGACTAAAGAGAGTGAGCAAATTTTAAAAAATTTCTTGTCATAGCTGTTACCTTATATAACAATATCGTAGAATACGAAACGACACTACTCATAAGAGAAAAAATTTGTAAAAATGAAATAAAACGCTAAAAATATGAGGAAAGCGTAAAAAATAGAAAATAATACAAGACATCCTAACCTTACAAAACTTTTTAGTAATAAGGTTTGATATTATTGGCACTAACTTTGTACTAAGTTTGTAAAAAGTAGGTATATCTCTGTATAAATTTACATGTTATAAAATATTATTTCTGTCAATAAAACATATTTCAATGTTCAATAGACAATATTATATACTTATCCATATAAGTATACAATAGACATATTTGACTACTAATCATTTAAAGTAATTATACTTTTATCAAAGGACTTGGTTGAGATGAAAAAATTAGGGTAAAGAGTGGAATTCGAGCCTACGAATGTAAAAAATTCGAAAATTTCAAAGATTGGATTGAGTTGTTGCCCGAGTAGATCGAAGATAACTCAAGTGGTTAGTGAAGTGGCTTATTGAACCGAAGGTCGTGGGTTCGAATCCCGTTCGTGACACGCTTAGATAAAAAGTATAATTAATG